CTCACATTCGCGCCTTGCTACCGCCTACCTATGCTTATCGTCGCCTTCATTATTTAGGCATGCAGTACTTGTCCCAGTTATGTAATTTCGTACAACGACTTAACAGGCAAACATAATGGAAATCATGAAACAAGCCCAACAGCTGTATATGTGCAGCAACGGCGTGCAGTCGATGGCATGCTACTTCATTCTTGTCTGCATGCTATCTCCCGTTGTTAGTTCATGTTCTCGTGTCGAGGCAACGCCACTGACGTTTTTTTCAGTTGCTGGGTCTTTTCAGCTTTAATAAACCATTATCGTACAGATAAGGTCTCATAACAAGTTCCTTTTCTGAAATGGTTGTAAGCGGAAGTGTACATCTGGAAAGAGTTTCTTCTAGTTTTCTTTTATGTGTTCTGTTGTTGGTCGACTAGTTAAAGGGGCGAAGCAACATTTTTTGTACTTGACAGGGTATTTCTGCTCGCCGATGTTTTTAGTTGTACGTGACATATGAGAGTCCAACTACCCAGAACGGAATTTGCGGCTCGAAATTCGGTTTCTTTCCGCCCGAAAACCGCCGATCGAGAACTGGCCGGTTTGAGTCGCGCTCACTCTCTTTTCCTTGGCCACGGGCCGTTTTCTAAGGTTTCGACGCGACCACCAAATTTAATTGAAATAGTGGGTCATTGAAGGCTCACAGTTAATAGTAAAATGAGAAAAAATATGAAACATTTTTTTTTGTGGCTTCCAAAAAGCTTCAAATACGTTGATTGAAAAAAAAAGGTTGCAAAGACAACCGGAAGCATTCTGTGCGTTCACTGCATTATTCTCAACATGGCGTCGTTTGGCGTTTCGTGGGACTCGCGGGTGGCAGCAGACGACGTGCGTGGGACCTCCACTTCAGAACTGTCGTTCACAGTATCGCCGAATTCTGTCTTCCTTCGAAAGAGAAATTTCGGACCGATCAAAAGAATTGATACCACGACACGCCCGACCAGCATGACGATTGCACGAAGACGTCGCCGAGCCGTCGTCCCTTCTCGTGGCTGAAGACATCGCTCGCTCAAACATCAAGCACGAAGTGCGTACATCGAGTTGAATACGCACGCGTACGGTTTCTTTACTGGGTGCGAATGTGGCCAATGCGTGGTGCTGCCCGACTTCAAGCCGGGAGTGCATGTACTGGAGGGAAATCGGCAGTAAACTTTCCGACGTACAGTCGACCGGCTGCATTACTACGCATGATTGACTTCCTTCAGTAGCTCGGTGGAAAGACGTCCGCTTCACACGCAGAGGGCACGGGTTCGATCCCTAGTGTGGGCGTACCATTTTTTTTTTCAAACATTTCGCGATGTTTACATTTCTTTTTTTCAGAGCGCAGCTCTTAGGCGCCCCTTTCCGGCTTGAGCGGCGTCGGCGTCGCCGTCGGCGTAACTGCGCGGTGCATTATGGGTAAATTTCCCCGGTGAATTTATTGGAAAAATTTTCCCGCTAAATCTAGCGGAACAATTTCCCCACTAAATATAGCGGAAACAATTTCCCCGCTGAATCTAGGGGAAAACTTTCCCCGCTATATCTGTTGGAAAAAATTTCCCCGCTAAATCTAGGGGAAGAATGTCGGCGCTAAATCTAGCGGAAAAATTTCCCCGCTAAATTTAGTGTATAAATTTCCACACTAAATTTAGCGAAAAAATTTTCCTGCTAAATCTAGCGGAAAATTTTCTCCGCTAAATCTAGCGGAACAATTTCCGCACTAAATCTAGCGGAAACAATTTCCCCGCTAAATTTAGTGAAAATTTTTCCTAAATGGGAGGCGAGCAAGAAAGGAGGAAAGCATAGTCTTCTCACCGTACCTTCCCCTAATCCTTTGCTAGAGCTGCTTTCTAATTAGGCGTTACAGGGAGTTGTAAACGGCTTTCATCATTTTACAATTATCAATGAAAAAAAAAACAATTGTCGACGATACGTCCATGAACTAAATGGTATGGGATTCCATTTTTGACACCTCTGCCGCAAAACGGCACTTCCAGATGCAGGACATGGGAGGCAACTCTTCACGTAACATCTTGGGAGTATTCTTTTCGGAGCCGATCATGGGAATCCACCACGGACACTCACTACTAATTGCCAACTCCTCAATGTACGAAACAACTCATCTTGAAGTACTGAACAGCGAGCGGAACAAACAGAACTGCAAAGGAATCGCACGGCGAACGGATCCCGCAACGTATCTCGTCTGCTGCACCCGAAAAAACAAATCGCACGGTTGGGTGTAGTCACGTGACTTCCGCCATTAGTCTCTGCTCTCCACTTCTCCGTACGATGCGGGGTTTCGGTTTCAGTTTCGAGCAGTTCCGTTTTTTGGCTTTATTAAAAAATACGTGACTCTGCAGCAAAATATTAATCGGGTAGTATTCCGACATCATAATAAATCGCCTGGCAAAAAAAAAAAAAAAAAAAAAAACAATTTGGGGGGTGTCAGTGTTCCTTTAACATTATTCGCTGATATTCGTAACCAACAAAACACGCCTTAGTTTGTTTGTTCACGCACTGGTAGCGGCAGAAAGCACAATTAGGAAAACGAACAGCGTTCACCCCTCGTGTCGCAGCCAGAGTGCATATGCGTAGCATTTGTATAAAAAACACGTTGGGGTTGGCGAAGCACAGGGCGCCCCGCTGAATTTTAACAATATTCAAAGGTTCGAAAATTTTCGTCACCGCAGCGATTCGACACGAGCCACTACCCGAATGCATGTGGAGGCATTGATTGTCACGACCTGAAATCGCTTGCTCACGTAGTGCTTGTGGCCACTGAATGAGCTGCATTTAAACATGGTCACTATAGGGATCGCATAGCTTGAGGACGAAATCCTGGGGATCGCATTGCTGACACTGTCGACTGTGTGAACCCCTTAACTTTGTTATTCAGTTTTGCTGAGGACAGACTGAAATAGAATCATGTCGTTCAACAACTGAGACTCTGCTACGGAAACGAAAAAAAATATGTTCGAAGGACGAGTCACAGAAGGAAACGCCTTAAACTCATCTTCACAAAATTTGCTTGGCTTCACTGAGTTAAAGTATAAGACAATGGCAAAACTCAAACCCTTTTGTGTCTGTTCCTGCGAATAAAAGTTGTATTCCTTTTCTGCAGCACAGTCTCAGGTGTTAAACTACGTGATTAGCTACCACCAGTTGGACTGCGTGCTTAAATAATTTTTGACTGAAAGAAAAAACATCTGTTTTATCCTAGACCTTACGGGGCGACAAAGACGCTTCTTGGTCAGAGGCATTGCATTCGAGTGTAGTTGGGTGCCACTATTGCCAGTAACCCTGCGGAAGTAAAAAACATTTCTACAGAACTTTGTCGCAAGGCCCCTTTAAGAGCCCATTGTACATTAAAATTGAGCTGTGCCCCAGTTGCAGGTAAATTCAGCATGATGAATTTCTTCTTGGGTGAAACTTCAAGGCAATGCCAAAATTGTTACATGTTTAAGTGGGCAAAATCGACAGAATAAAGTCACTGTTATCTTTTTAGTTAAGAGAAAGCTAATGTTCACTGACATTTTATTTGAGGACACTGTAATGACTAGATGTCTCACCAACTAACTTTTCCTCAAAGCCAAGTGACTTGGGGCTTGAAAAGTCTGGCGCATTCAGGCATTTTTTCGTTTTGTCTTCATCATCATCCGCTTCTTAAAAGACAACTATATTGAGAGCACCAAAGTGTTGTAGACGAACTTTCATTGCCGGAGACTCGTACTGTTTTCAGATGTGCTATGACAGTGCAGCCAACAACTGCTAATTCTGGTGAAGTAGATGTCCGGGGTGAAGCAAATTTAACTCTGAACAGTGTGATATATAAAAACCAGTCAACTGCTGACCCCAAACTCTAGTCTGGCTTCTATAGGCATCGCGTTTTTCTATTGTAGCCTGCTGTGCGCGAGTGTGCCGGTGCTCATATTTTCTCTAAGGTTGCAACCCAAGTCAATAAATAAAGCTGTACGCTCCTGGTCTGGCATGTTTTTTATTTTGTTGCCTAGAAAAGCTGAAGCTTGAACCAATATTTAGGTTCTTGGCTCCAAGGGGACCATAAATATTGACACTATTTGATATCTGCAGCCAACGCAAGTTCCAGCGGTGCATACTCCAAATGTTTTTCTTCATGTGCCGAAGTTTTAAAATATCACGAACATTTAAACGCACACATCATGCTGGTAAAAGAACTCTTCATTTCGCTGTAACTCGCATCTGGCCAGCACATTCGTGTGTTATTAGCAAATTGTACTCTGTTGTGAAGCCAAATGAGAATATCTTTAAACGCGGGAATACTTTTGTTTTCTGCTTTAGTCGTTAGGTAAAAATATTTGCTCCAAATCGCTGACATGACAGGTTAAATTTATTGAAATTATAGCCGTTTTTTTCCCTCATGTCAAAATCAAATTGTTCTTATAACATTTTTTCAGGCATTGTGCGGAGGATTGAGCTATACCGAACTGACGGTAGTCAAGTCATCAAAGATAGGACTTTGGATGATTGAGAAATCGTGCAAAAGCGGACAGCGCAAGCGGCACAGGGTACTGGGCGACAGGCTGAATAAACAGCTAACCCTTTAAAAATTGATCTGTTGCCTTTGTAGAATTCGCTAGCTGTTGCATCCAAAATAATTTATGTGATATCCTAAATGTATACTGTTTGCATGAGGAGACCGGAATTACACCAGGACCACTGGATAGGGATCACACAAAGTCGCACGGAATCGGCTCACGTCAGACCGGGTCAAGCAAAGATACAGCAGATTTTCATATGTGTGTCTGAATTTCTGCTCTGGTGTACATGTCAAAAACACCAGACCCGGTCAGGACAGGACACACGAGCACACCAGGCCAGTGTCTGTATTTTCGCACTGATCTAAACGTCAATAAACAACAGGCCCGGTCTGGTTGATTTTTGCCTGTGCTAGGAAGTCCCAAGTTGATTTAACTTCCAGGCGGACTCCTTTGTGGTACAAAATAGCTTGCCTCTCATCCGTTGACGTAGACCCCAAAGCCGCAGTTCCTTGCCAACGGTTTCTTCACCGGTTACAGAGAGCGTCCCGAACAGGTTGACTGACTGTTCGTACGCGTTGTTCCTGCACAGCGCAAAAGAAGATCGTGTTCAGATCAAAATTGCCATTGCCGTCACGTTAATTGGTAAACACGCATTGTTTAGAAACGACTCTGAATATAATTTAAACGTTTTTAAAATGCTCTGTATCGGGGCGTGGGTGTCTACGCAGTTGAGAGTTTCCAAGTGGTTTTGGTCACATTTAAAAGCGGAAGTTTCGGTTTCTGTAAGAATAAAAGCTTCCAAGCCACCGATGCTAGCGAAGTCTAGAGAGAGCAAGCGGTGCTGCATAAACTGTCAACTTGAAAATTCGGCTGGTGCAGCCAGCGTGGGGCACCTGGCTATGATGTCCACGTACACTAAACATACCGCAGTTTCCTTTCCACAGAAGTGCGATACTAAGCTATTGCCCTTTGCCTATTGCTGCGTAAATTGCTATTGCCTATTGCTGCGTAAATTGGTTGTTGATTCCCTTGCGTGCGTTTCCGCGTGGTGGATTACGGGCGGAGAGGCTGCGCAAGGCATGAAGGCGCTTGGAGACGATGAATGTTTTCGCTCTTACTTCTCGCTCGTACTGCCAACGTGCCCCATATACCATGTGGCCCTGATGGAGCGGTTGGAAACATTAAAATCTAGGAACGCTAGGTACCAAATCATGGCTGCTGAAGTGTCTGAACTGCCAAGTTGAAAAACGACCTAAAAATGAGTACCTGGCGTAGCCATTTCCATTGGGGTGCAACCGCCAGGATTGCGGTAGGCAATAGCTTGACACAAGGAAGGCGTCATCGGGAGTAAATGGAGGCAACAGGAATTAGGACGCTGTAAACAAACAATTCGGAGACGCGTCCAAGCAGCAAATTCTCGGTGGCGTACCTGGGCATGTCTCCAGCCAGACCTCCCCAAGAACCCTTCGCCAGGAAAAGGGCTCGAGCTTCAGCACTCGTGTCGTAGTCGTGGTCATAAACGTCGCTGCCAGCATTGATGCTGTTGGCAAAAAATAGCGTAGATTAGACTCTGTTCACAAATGCATGTGTTCCTGTTGTGGCAAGACCGTGCCACGTGCCGTTGCCATATGCATCCTCGTGTTGCTACAAAAGCTAGGGTCGACATGTTTTCTTGTTAGAAAAAGGCGAGCTTGTCACAGCGTAGCAGTCATTTCAGTACAATACCTTAAGCATATAATGTGAAGAGATAGAAACTCTTCGACAAGAACGCGGTATTTATACTAAACCTAGGTCATTCCCGTTGCGTTAGGGACTGAAAAAAGTGCGTAAAATATCTGGCAGTGTAATGTTTCCATTTCTCGAGAGTGTTAGTTAACATTTTTATTTACCTATTTAATAATAGACACTACAACCTTTTCTGAGAACGTTGCTAATGTTGGATAGTATTGTGGGACTGGGTTTAAGGGCCCAAAGTCTACTTCTGTTCTTGTTGCTAGTCGTTTTCTTACTCATTTGAATATCTCGATTTAAAGCGCCTACAATCTTTGTTAGATATTTTCTTACTAAATATTAGTGAAATTAGCTGGAGTTCGTTCTCAGACTGGCTATTATTTTTGATAGTCTGCTATTGAGGTGATTGTAAAGTAAATAGTCAGCCTTGTACTCACAACAGACGAAGATCAACGTGACGAGTAACACCCGTTCCGTCAGCAAGTTCCTCCCTGCACGAAAATAAAAATAAAACTTAGTCGACATTCTCTGGATAGGCGTTAGGTAAATAAAAAAAATAAAGTATATATTTTGATCTAAAAAATTATGCATGTGGTTTGGTTCCTTGTGTATTCAAAACACAACGTTGGAATAAAAAAAAAATGAGATAAGAAAGCGGTCCTGCCAAGAGAAACAGAAAATAAGAGATGGCTCATACAATCCATTGCATTACGAAACAAAAAAAATCTCAAACCAAAAGCTCAGAAACAATCAGTTCCTAACGTTTCGGTGTCGTCTTGGCTCCTTCAGTGTGTGACTAAATGGAATAGGACAGCGAGAGCTTCGCCCTTTTCTTCCTCCTCTACCCTGGATGTATATAGATGGTAAGGCACCGAGGGACCTGTTAATCTTCCCCGGTGTGTTTTGAATATGACAAGACTCCAAGAACAGACATTTTCAAATATGTGGCTTTGTAGCTATCACGTGCGCGTTCGCGAAGTCAATCCGATGGTAGAGTGCCTTACAATGTTCGGCGACGGCGCTACGCTCGCGATCGAAATTACGCACATCGTTCTGGTGCTGGCGCATGCGTTAGGGAAATGTTTAGTTTCGCCGATGTAGGCGGCGGGGCACTCTGCATCTTGTAGACCACGCCTTGTGTTTTTTTCTTTTGAGAGGTAATCTTTCGGCCTTGACATGAGCCGTCCTAATGTTGACACAGGCTTGTGCGCCACTTGAAACTCATTGTTTTTTTCAGAGCACGCGCGTCAGCGCCTCGCTGGTTCCTTTTAAATACGGGACGCTAATGCGCGCGATGGGGCGGGGCTGTGTGTAACATGGCGATTCGTAGTTATATCGCGTGAAACACTGTCGACGGGCGATGCACTGAACAAGATTCCTTGCGTAGCCGTTTCTTTGGAGGTCAGCAAAGATTGTATGTGTCTCCTTTCTTTTATCCCTTTCCGGCGAGCAGATGGTTATTGATATAGACAAGAGAGTAGAGACCACTGACGCCTTGTGACTTACCGGGTGATTCAAGTCAAATTTAAGGTAGCGTCTGGTGTGTGCTAGTTTCCTATAGACCGTGAATCTCGGCTTGTCGTTTTGCCTTTTCACCAGAGCATCCAGGAACGACAAGACTCCATCTCTCATATTCTACGGTAAACTGGATGACCGGTTCTATGGAGCTCAGGTGTTGCTATGGAGCTATGGAGCTCAGGTGACACACGTTCCTTCAACGCACAATTTGTGCGTTGCGGGCATTTTGCGGTTCACTGCAACAGGTGCCCTTGCGCGCCGTCATTCCACAACACTAAGATCCCAGCCAAATATAAAATCAAAGTGCTGAGGGAAATACTCGAGGCTTTCGAGAATAAAAGTAGGGGGAGTGATTACATTAGCGGAGCTTCTTTAGCCCTTTCCACGGATGAAAGAGTTTTTTAAACGGGGGCTGGGCAAAGATGTGTGACGATTAGGATGCCTGTCGGGTTTATATGTGTGTACTTTTTAAATAAACTTTAGTTGAGAGTGCGCCCTGTCCTGTTGTTCTTCTGTCTGTCATTGTATTCTTCGGCCCTTTTCACCGTAGATATGTACCATTTGGCCCATAAATGTTCCTTGTTTCCGTCAAACGCACGTCGTTACATAGACCACCCCAACAAAGTATACCCTATATTAGCACGCACAAACCTGTATAAATATTCTGCCAATGGTCCTCGCTATCACCGAGCGGAATTTCTTGACGTATACAACTGCAAGCAAAAAGCGCCGAAAAAATACAGGGACACAGACGAAGGGAAACAGGACAAGGCGCACTCTCAACTGATGTTTATTGAAAATTCACACGTTATAAAGCCACACACACACACACACAAAAAAAAAAAATCTTTTTTTCTTATCTACTTTGCCCGCGTTTCAAAAATTCAAACTCATTTGTAGATAAGGATACCAACGTGTCACTTATACAATTCTTGTCTCTGGTCCTAATTGCATACGCTTCGTGTAATTCCCGCGACACTTTATCTTTGTATCTAGCCAAAATCTTGGTGTCATTGAAGGCCGGGGTGCAAGAGCATCTATTGCAATGAATTGCAAGGTGCCCCGAAGGCGTCGTTCTTGTAGAGGCAGCGTGCTCTCGGGTGCGATCATTAACGCACCTGCCCGCCTGGCCCACGTATGTCATCCCACAGGTCATAGGGATTTCATAGACGACGCCAGTGGCACATTCAACGTACTTATTTCGATGTTTGGTAGTGCAGGGATCTGAAGATGGCTGCGGTGAATTGATCTGGCGACAAAGTCGCGCCATCTTATCGGGCGCTGAAAAAGCTACCGGCACATTGTAGCGCTGGGCTACCTTTTTCAGATTGTGCGTTACATTGTGCATATATGGAATGACAACAGGCCTCGTGGTCGGTCTATTGCTGTTTGATTTCCGATTACCTTTAATCTTTTTGATTAAGCTTTCTGCCACTTCAACCAGAGCTCTCAACGGAAAACCAGCCCTCTGCAGGCGTTCTATCTGACCCTCGAAGCTGCCTTGCGCACTGTGCAAACATGACTTTCTGAGAGAAGCCCCCAGGCACGAACTGGCTATGCCCCTTTTCACTACCTTCGAGTGGGCGGAATCAAAAGGAAGGATGCCCTTCCTAGCTCGAGGCGCGTACTTCCAACAAACATGGTCCCCAAAAAACGACAGCTCGAGGTCCAAGAATTGCAGTTTGCTTTCTTTTTGTAACTCATGCGTGAATGTCAACCCGGAGCAACACAATTTAGACACGTCTAGCAACTGAGAGACTTCACTGCAAGGGGGCCCCGCCGAGCGGCTAAGGATGAGGAAATCGTCGACTTATCTGAAGAATTTCCCATTGTCATCGTTCGAAAGGTTCAAAGCGATGTTTTTTCCACAGCTGCCTTAAAAAATGTCACACAAAACAGGTGCCACACTGGACCCGATGCAAACGCCTTTTCTTTTTGCACATAAAAACTCCCCTCGAATGACGCAAACATATGTTTTAAGTAAAAAACCAGGAGCTCAAGAAAGCTATCAACATTGATGCCCGAAGAATTCTGGAAAGCGACAACTCCGTCATGTTTGCACAGTGCGCAAGGCAGCTTCGAGGGCATCAATGTTGATAGCTTTCTTGAGCTCCTGGTTTTTTACTTAAAACATACGTTTGCGTCATTCGAGGGGAGTCTTTATGTGCAAAGAAAAGGCGTTTGCATCGGGTCCAGTGTTGCACCTGTTTTGTGTGACATTTTTCTAGGCAGCTGTGGAAAAAACATCGCTTTGAACATTTCGAACGATGACAATGTGAAGATCTTCAGATACGTGGACGATTTCCTCATCCTTAGCCGCTCGGCGGGGCCCCCTTGCAGTGAAGTCTCTCAGTTGCTAGACGTGTTTAAATTGTGTTGCTCCGGGTTGACATTCACGCATGAGTTACAAAAAGAAAGCAAACTGCAATTCTTGGACCTCGAGCTGTCGTTTTTTGGGGACCATGTTTGTTGGAAGTACGCGCCTCGAACTAGGAAGGGCATCCTTCCTTTTGATTCCGCCCACTCGAAGGTAGTGAAAAGGGGCATAGCCAGTTCGTGCCTGGGGGCTTCTCTCAGAAAGTCATGTTTGCACAGTGCGCAAGGCAGCTTCGAGGGTCAGATAGAACGCCTGCAGAGGGCTGGTTTTCCGTTGAGAGCTTTGGTTGAAGTGGCAGAAAGCTTAATCAAAAAGATTAAAGGTAATCGGAAATCAAACAGCGATAGACCGACCACGAGGCCTGTTGTCATTCCATATATGCACAATGTAACGCACAATCTGAAAAAGGTAGCCCAGCGCTACAATGTACCGTTAGCTTTTTCAGCGCCCAATAAGATGGCGCGACTTTGTCGCCAGATCAATTCACCACAGCCATCTTCAGATCCCTGCACTACCAAACATCGAAATAAGTACGTTGAATGTGCCACTGGCGTCGTCTATGAAATCCCCGTGACGTGTGGGATGACATACGTGGGCCAGACGGGCAGGTGCGTTGATGAACGCACCCGAGAGCACGCTGCCTCTACAAGAACGACGCATTCGGGGCACCTTGCAATTCATTTCAATAGATGATCTTGCACCCCTGCCTTCAATGACACCAAGATTTTGGCTAGATACAAAGATAAAGTGTCGCGGGAATTACACGAGGCGTATGCAATTAGGACCAGAGACAAGAATTGTATAAGTGACACGTCGGTATCCTTATCAACAAATGAGTTTGAATTTTTGAAACGCGGGCTAAATAGATAAGAAAAAAAAGTTTTTTTTTTGTGTGTGTGTGTGTGTGGCTATATAACGTGTGAATTTTCAATAAACATCAGTTGAGAGTGCGTCTTGTCCTGTTTCCCTTCGTCTGCGTCCCTGTATTTTTTCGGCGCTTTTTGCTTGCAATGAACCAACTGGCCCAAATCTCCACTCTACTGCAGTATAAAACTGCCACGGCGCAGGATTGTCAGACTTTTTTGAAATCTCCTGATTTACTTTCTCTCACAAACTGCATCGTTACTGTTTTTTTTTGTTACAGTTATGATGCAATCATGCAACATGTCCTCTGTGTGCTTTTTACTGTATTTTGCTATAACTTAAGTGCTCGATCTTTTTTAATACTGTCAATGTGAAGTTTTTATACGAATTCCCCCCTATGTAATGCCCGAAAGGGTACGTAAAATAAATAAATAAAATAAACAAATTTCAGTGCTGCCTTCTCTCGTGCCCTCTAAACTGCTGTTATATAAGCGATGTAAGTAAAGCTTCCTTCAGTTTCATCGGCCTCTAAACTAATTACTTGAAGATATCTGCAAAGTTATTACTATCCATCGGTGGCTGAAGTGTCGTACTTAAAGAGAAGATTGCGGAGTGGTTTTATTGTGTCCATGGAACGGATCTTAGGTGTCGTCATGGAAGCAGGATTACCTCAGGCGTCCGTTGAAGGTCACCTTCCACCTCCTCATGGGGCGCAGGCAGGTCAACTGGAGCCTCCCGGTAGAGAAGCGTCGCGACTCCTGCGAGGAGCGGTCGAGGAACGCTGCTCCAGGCAGCAGCCACGTCCTGCCCTGGCTGTCCCTGAGCCGCAGGCTGGCCCGCGCCACTCCCCCGGGCTCCCTGGACACCCAGACCAGGAGGCTCTCTCCCGAAGAGTTGCAGCCCCAGCAGAGGAACTCGTCCAAGTGCTGCGGCGAGGAGGAAAGAAAGGAAAACGTTCCGTGGGGACATCACGAGGGTAAAAGTTTCCCCGCTGAATTTGGGGGGAATGTTTTCCACTACATTTAGCGGGAAAATTTTCTCGCTAAGTCCAGCGGAAGGATTTCCCCGTTAAATATAGCGGAAAATTATTCCCACAAATTAAGCGGAAAATTTGGCGAAAATTTCCCGCTCAATGGGAGAGGAGCAGAAGAGGAGGAGGCGAGGGTAAGAAGAGAAAGGAGGGCATACCCTCCCCTCTGTACCCTCCCCTCCTCCTCCTCAAGAGCTGCGCTCTAATTCGTCATAGGAGAGCATTGTAAACGTCGTTCATTTTTGTTAAGAAACAATTTTTATAGTTTAATATTAAACTGCAAGTTGACAACTTCCAACTAGTTTTTACTTGTCGGTGAAAGTGCTACAAAAGCACTTTCACCGTCTTAATGTTTAGATTTTTTTATTTCAGATTCATTTATTTTTTATGCCAATTGGTCTGCCTGGTTTATCGGTTCTCTGTTTAGCTCATTTATGCTCACAGTTATGTAAACTTGACTTAAAGTCCCTCGTGACCTATTCTTTTTTTTTTTTTTTGCTGCAGTGTTTTGAATCAAAAACGTGGAACGATGACAGGATATTTCTGAGCTTTTCAGAACAAGTAGTCAATTGCTGTCAAATCAATTTAATGCAGCTACGGAACTGCCAGGATTGGCATCACGTCATTTATTTTGCATTAATCGCATTCTGTGTTTACATAATATGAAATTGAAGGTTGAGCTTTCTATTTTATGAATATCATGAATTTAATTTTTAATTTCAACACATCCTCCTATTGCCCATTTTATCTTAATTTCATTTAGTTTATATTTTAGCTTTGGAATTCCTCGGTTGTGTTCGGTGACACTTGTAATGTTTTGTCATGCTGAGCTATTCGTCTTGTGGTCCACTTGTAACAGCATCCATCATTACGAATCAGCGCACAGGTGGACAGGTACCTGTGCGCTGGTTCGTAATGAGAGACGTCGTCCTGTCTATTTTCTGTTCCTTCTACGCTTTGATGCTTCTTCTCTACCCCAGTCTTAGGTTATTTCAACATGGTTAATATTCGCCAGCTCGCCTGCACCCTTACAATTTTTTCTATGATTTTTTTATGCCTTACCAACTCGTTCAATCTGCAGTATTAATAGCATTCATCAGATTCAAAAAAAAAGACATTGAGCGTTTTGTTTATAGTGACAAAAAAAACACAATACTTGCCAACTTGCTCCTATTTCCTGATAGTGAAACCTTTAATTTTAGAAACTCGGCAAGTGGAACATTTTGACCCGTCACAGTACGCTTCACCTTTGGGGTTTGAGCTGTTTAAGAAACGGCTGCACAACCTCCTTTGTTGTATAAGCACCCACATTCACCACACAACAACCTCAAGGGAATACAAGAATAGATAACGCTAGTATAATTGCGCTTTGATGCCGTATCCGGAACCTAGATACGTTATAATGGGCCATTTTTAAAGGTAAATAAGACATTGATATTGACGAGACATTGTTATATCAGTACACAACTACTGTCATTGCCACAGCACTAGAAAACACTATCCTCGAAATGTGAAAGTCAGCATTAATATTTTCCTATATGTATGATGTTATTTTGTATCAATTGTTTGTTGTCTTATCAGTGTATCTTCATTCTACTACAAAACCTTTGGGGTTCAAATATTGATATTGTTGTGATTAACTGGATTATGAACAACTTAACTTAGAGAGAACAACAAGTTGCGGAAAGTTGTGATTGGGCCTAGTTTCTTTGACAGCGGCACTCTGTGTGGCCGCTCATTTTATTGTTTTTTGTAATGATATTTCTATTGTAGTCTAATCTAGAATATGTGTGGTCTTGGTCGGATGTGTAGTGTACAGTACAGTGCCCTGTGAAACGCGTTCCGCGCAGTTTTTGAGTGACCCCGTAGGCATTGAAACAGTGTGTACAAATAATATTTTCCTAAACGGTAGTAAGAGCGTTAACTGAAGCGTTACCTCCGAAATATTTCACAGTAGTTTATAGTAAAACAATATCAAAATCAACACACAACTACCTAGGTGGGATATTTTTTTTTTTTGAAACAGGTTGATGATCAACGCAAGTAGATTGTTCAATTTCGAAGGTGGGGAGATCACTTAGTTTTTACAAGGTAAACCTAACATGTCAGCAGCTAGGGGAAAGAAGCCGTATAATAAGCATACGTAAGGCCGTTCCGAGAATAAGCTTGAACGATCCGGAAACCCGTTTACCAGGTTTATGGCAATTCACTTGAGCTCATTCAATCTTTCTCTGCTCGGTGTGTCCTGGGGTTTGATCACCCCGTATGTATAACGAAATTAAAAGTGTTTTTTATGTAGCACCCTAGAGGCCTCTTACTCAAGCCTATTTTTCTATTTATTATGATCACGGAAAAATCTATGCTTAATCATACTTATAATCGTCAAATATCTCACCGCAAAAAGATCACTCTTACAAAGTTCGACCGCATGCCACCAAGACAAATATTTTTAAACAATATTTATTTGAGCGCACCACGTAAGACTGGACTTTATTACCAGCGGATGTGGTGGGACGAGGGAATGCTGAAGTGTTCTATTATGCACTGTGCCCGCGTAATATTGTCCAAGGGGCGCTGCGAGTTTCTTCCGAATAAAGCATCAAATTTCACATCTAGTCCTTTATATATGTAGAGGTGTTGCGTTTATTGTCGTTTACGCACCGGGTTGCTGATAGTTTGTTACTTTGCGTTATTATAGGTTACAGTAAGGCAAATCATATTTTATGGTGTTTTTGTCGCACATTAACATCTAGACATTTATCTTAGCGCATTTAGTCAACAGAATGTCAATTACACGCTTGATTGTTATTGGGCTTTACGGTTGAGATTCGGTTGTCTTCGTCCGTTTTTTTTTTTTTTATCGTTCCCTATCTCAGGGTCTAGAAGATGTCGTTTCATAACCAGCTCGCCTGCACTCCATGAGTGCTTACAATTTGGTTTTCTTGTTTGCTTACTTGTACAGTCTAGAATGGAGTGTTCTCCCTTGCCCTGCCCAAATATCAGGCAGCTACCAAAATATTCAAATGAGTAGATAAATAGATTTCTTCCTCACATGCTGTATTTCGTGCTCCGGCTGCGGCGCTTCCAGTTCCCACTCGAGCTCCGGATAGAGGAAGCCCAGCTTGACGGGATCTCCCCGAGCCCCGACGTCGTACAGATCCAAGCGGCGCTTCTCAAATCTCGAGCGCCAGGTTGACAGGCCTCGGGACACGGCTTTCTTCAACAGAAACGATGCTCCTAGAGACGAGGAGAGGACGTCAATACATCTGGTGTCACACACCAGAAAGAAGAGAATTCTACGAGTGAAATAAACGTTTTGCAGGGTGAGCCTGCGGCAATAAACTTAGGGACAAACTATCACACATTTCGGAAAGGCGACTGATCCTTCCGTCTCATTACCGCCGCTTTTATACGCGCAATACACTTAGGAATGTTCTCAAGCAGAAGACAGGATCGCAGCGTCGAATAGGGAGGAACATTCCATAAAGGTAAACATTTATTAAGGCAATACCCCGGCCGTGCCAACACCAGCCAAAATTTAGAAGTGCCAAGAACAAACTCGTCCATGAGACTGTCGAATGGTGTCAACTCGGCCACCGAACCGGATGCCGTGCGTCCTTCGGCGCGTTGATTGCATAGACGCAAGGCCCAGCCGAACGGGATGCGCTCAATCGTCGGCGATGACGCCAAAATCCACTGCAGAGGCTGTGATAATTCTGGGCGGCGTTCCCCGAGGAATATGAAACTCCGTTAAATCACATGCCAGTAGCTTGAGTTGCCAACTCCCTCATGTGCCTGGAATTATCTTCTTTTTTTTTTACTGCATATGATACTTAAACAAAACCCGCGTCACTTGAATTTACGGTGTACATACATGTGTCTCTAAACTCAACTCGAAGATGTGTTTCTTTTTTTTTTAAGTCGCCGATTGTTTTATACTGTTTTTTACAAACCGTACCATTCAAGTGCCAAAGCCATAGCTATATAAACGCTCGAGTTGAGCGACAAGCTGCACCAAGTGTCCTTGACCTTTTTTGTGTCAGGTGCTGTATGCCTAACTGCCATGCCTGACTTCCATAAGCTGTAAAACCTTAGGAGCTTACACGTGTTATGGGACACACGGGTTTTGTTTTAATCAGCAAAGTAGCAGATTGAATTGGGAGCTATGTAAAAACCATTCTTCGATGTTTGTTGAAGTAATGCCCTAGCTAATTTAGTCATCCCCCTCCCCCCTAAAAATGAAAGTATGGTCTAGCATCTTTGGTTGCTTACTCTGGAAGGAGTTCCTCTGACCACGGTAGAAAGGTGCCTTTGTTCCATAACCACGCCTCTACGTGGAGGGTGAAGCTATGCATTAAAAATGACTTCTCTGGAACAGGCACGCACATTTGGTTGCAGTCGCAACTTCTCGGCCTTGCCGCCTTAAAAAGACAGTGCGATACAAATAATCTAAAAATAAATTCTTAAATAGGTCCCGTTTCAACATTTTCTCGCTAACAGTAAGCAGGCTCTAGAGCGAAAACCTTACGCGAAAAATACTCAAAGCGTTCCATACTTTTTTAGGAACCTAAACAGTTTGTTAGGCAGGGTTAGCACTTGACAACTCCAGAGAAGGTGGATGAGGTGACACTTAGGCTCGAATAAGTGCAGGAATAAATGTCTCCTGTTGATTACTTACCAAAGTATTTTGTCACTAGCTGTTCCACAAATAAGCGACAGTGCTCTAGTTCTCTATTCCGGGCGCCACAACAAATGTTCTCACGCCTCAACACTTCCATGGTCATGTGACCAGTGGAAACACTCTATTAATTATCAGTATATTTTTTCCGTGCACAGTGTGGACTGAAGACATACTATAAATCGGCAATAGGAAGAACTGCGCACCGTTTTTAGTTAATAATTGATAAATTCCGGTGATTCCATTGCCAAGCCTTGGTTTCAGGTCGGTTTCGCCTCTTATTCTCTCACAGTAGCTGCTATGACGTCGCATTATTGTTTCGATAGTTCTACTACATCTGACAAGCTGTTTGTATCAGTAGACAACACAGCAACATTATCTGTGCAGGCCGGTCTCTTCAATCTTGTGTTTCGCGAGGCTCAGCCCTGTTGAAATAACACTTCAGTCGTGATTTGGTATGGGAACCTCTCAGCGCTTTCGCTCCTTTAACCCACCAAACCTCTCAGCCCATCAAATCACTTCAGCAATTTAAACACCTTCAACACTTCAGACCCTTCAGCCTTTAGACCCCCTCAGTTTTCAACCGTTTAGACGCCCAAATGATTTTAAACCATACACCGAAAATGCAGTTCAAGGCGTTATTGAATAATTTATTTCAAACATTGAGATTTTTATGCATGTTAAAACTAAAAAAATACGATACGATCGTCTTTTTAGTTACAACCGGGCGCAATCAGCTGTAGACAAAGGCCACCAGACCAAATAAGGACAACAGAGTTTTTTGCCGCAAAAATATCTTTCGAGGTACTCACAATGCCGCTGGGTAAATTCTTGAGATGTACGTTAGATCAACGAAGTAAACCGAGCAGGTGCACGACACGCAAACATACACATTGTCAATAGCACGTTTAACGAAAACCACGAAGGCGCAACCATTGTCTGCCGCCGTTGAGAAGTTCTGAGCAGAGTCACGTTGTCGTCCCATGGTGCCGTCGCAGTGGCGTCTCCGGCGTCTTCTTCGCTTGCTTGATGCTTCTGAAGCCGGGCGAAAGAAGCGGCTCGAGAAAAATCCGCACACCCAGCTGCTCTAGATAATAGGTTGAACGCATGGGACGGGAAACCGACACTGAGCGTCCACTCGTTGTGGCGCATTTAGTTTGTGCTCGTTGATGGAGAAAAAAAAAGAAGGGCGAACAGGTTCTGACAAAGGATAGATTTCGACTGGATAAAAACGGGGTTGTTTTTAAAAAAAATCAAAAAGTTTCCCTCCCATTTTCCCCACACACCTTCGCCCTCGTGAACGAGGAGCTGTTGTCGTTGGGCGCGACAGGATAGTGAAAGTGGAACGTCTCTCGTTGCGGCCACCCTATACGGACTGGTAACGCGGTTTCCCCGACCTATATGCTGAAGGATCACGCGATCTCACTGGTCAATTATTCCCTCTTCCATGTACGCCAAAATGATCTGTCATCTTTTGACTGTAACGCCACCGCCTGTTTTATTGTCCTTCAAGGGAAGGCAGTGGCTCCGCGCTGGAGTTGGTCGGAAGTGCAGTTAAACGCTTTCCCACTGGAAAATCGGAAGGGGTGAGCGGTTCCTTTTCGGTGGCTTCGGTGTAGACGTATGTCAGAAGCTTAGAGTTTTTTACAGCCTCAATTTCAGTTAACACGGTCGTCAGTTCTTCGAACGTGCTGTAGCTGTTTCCCAAAACTTTCTTGAGCGAGGACTTTATCGACCAGACCATCCTCTCCCAGAACTCACCCCACCAGGCAGATCTTTCGATTATAAACTGCCACTGTATCTGCCAATCAGCGAAGTAGGCTTTTACCCCTCCCCACGTGATGTTGGCCACAGTTTCTTCGGGTCCCTCGAAGCACGCTGAAATGTTTTTTCATTGCCAGAAAAGATGACTTGGCACACTCCTCTTCTTGACACAAATCTTCTGAGTGCCATCAGAAAAAGGGGGTGGACATGTCGGTCACTAGTTCGAGGTGAATGGCACTCTGTAATGATGTCATCAATACGGTGACAAAAAGAGGAAGAAAATTGGAGGAGACTAACGGAAAAAAGGGGAAGAAAAGGAAGTCGAGGAGAACGAGGAGAGTCAGGGCGGAGAGCGGACGCATAAGCGAAGTTACAAAGCTAAGGGAGGACCTTGCTGCATTGAAAGCAGAAACGCATAAAGTGAAAACAGAGGTCAACATGATATCGCAGAGGCAACGAGAATATGAAGACCTCGCAGACGACTTGAATAACATAATGCGTCGTAATAATGTAATTATCAAAGGACTAGCGGAACAAGAACGTGAGAGCTGGTCAGACTCCGAGTGCATCGCGAAGACGTTCTTTTCTACCAACTTGCATGTCAGTGTTGGCGAAATCGAGCGCGCCCACCGACTTGGCGCGAAGAAAGCTGATTTTAACAGGCCTATTGTGCTTAAGTTCCTGAATTTCAAAGACGAAGACGAAATTATTAGAAACGAGTACAAACTAAAGGAATCTGCGTTGCGTGGCGTTTGGATTGAGGAAGATTTTTCACCAAACATTCAACTAATTAGGAAGAAGCTACGCGATTTCGCAAAGCTACGGTTTGGGGTCAGCAAGTTCAGACCTTATTACGATAAACTACATTTTTAAATCTCCTGATTCCTTTCATTTCACAAAAAAACATAATCATGTTTGCCCTTGGTCGCAGATAAGCCATAGTTCTGCAGTGTGTCGTTGGTGTTCGTTTTGCATTTGTATAATGTTACCATTGAAGTGCAGCAATTGAACTTTGTGATTTTATGTACTGCTTTTCTGTGTGCCGCGGCTTTCTTTGCTTTTCTTTTTTTTTTTCCCTGTTTTCCGTGTATCTCTAATGTCAACGTGTTCTTTTTGTATGAATTCCCCCCTATGTAATGCCCAAAAGGGCCCTTAGGGTAAATAAACAAATAGCTTGGTTCCGGAATACATCGGCGAGGCTGTCATCCACAGACGTCTGCCGACCTGTCCTCACCGTCAACTCTGAACGGCAAGCCTGGCTCAAGAGCGAACCGGCGAAGCCATCCCAACAACGGGCTGACTGGTCACCATCGGTACGCCGGCAGCCAGACGAAGCCGGCTTCTGCCACAGGGGAGGCGCCTAAATCCAGCGTAAACCAGTGCCAACCTCGGCAAATCGAACTTTGGATGTGATCCCTTTTCTTTTATTTATTTACTAATAAGTGTCGTTTTTTTTTCTTACGTGGATTCGGAAAGAATAACATCAACTAGGTGCAAATATAGACGGACATCTCAGTTTCCTTTCTTTTTACGATAAAGAGCATTACACTAACTGGCGTCCGCAACGGGACACGGATGGTCCTCCGTGTGGTTTTCGGTGCAACATATAAGTTATGGAGTTCAAGGAGTTTATGGCCCTGGGTGAAAAGCTGGAGATCACAGGAACAGAATTACGAACATGGGGTGATCAGGACCGAGCTCGGCAAAGCAAGTACAAAGTGGCCGAACGAGAAGCTCTCCGACAGAAAGCGGAACTGGAAGAAAGAACGGAGAGAACGCTCCAGCTTAAGCTTAG